GTCGTGAGTTGTGAATGACAAACCAAGTGACGTGTTTTATTTGATTACTGCAGTGCTTATGAATAGCTCAATGCTGACAGCCTGGGAGGAAAAGTACCTTTAAATTCCATGGGATAAGCATAAGATGGACCGCAACACTGCCAGGTTTTCTCCTCCAGCCCAGGCAGTGTGCCTCATTTCTGAATTTACCATCCCATTGACTTATTTGCTGGGCTGTCACATCAGCCATAGAAATGTTTTTGACACCACTATATTTTGTGACATTTGTTCCTTATAAAATGGGAAGAAGGTCACACTAAGCAGCTGTGAATAGCCATCAACTTTCAATCACCACCAGCACCGACGGCGTTTGAAACAGCAGCTTTGGGTGGGGATGAAAGGCTCTGTGTCCTACTGACAGTGCCTGCAGCCAGTCAAAGGTGGAAGCAGGAGTGTGAAGTCTGAGATGCACATTTGAAATTATGGGGACAGCATTTACTATGAAGATTTATTTACAATAATGTCTAGAGGGCAACAGGAGTGTGCTTAGTTCTTTAATTTTTTTACTCTGAAAACTTAATTTTTTAAAAAAAATATTTCATGTCCTACATAGGGTCCCAGTTAGTGCACCGAAAAAATTATATTGCTGATTGGTTTTACTGCAGTATTAGCTGAAGATACAATTCCCATTCACAGAAAAGCCTCCAGCTGGGGAGAAGTGGTACTTTATTCACAGCATGTGTCAGTGTTCAAGCGATGCTAACGTTGGACCTGCGAGTAGCTGGTGGTTCTGATACACCAGCCCATGGCAGCTCCCATGTTACCCATGTGGCTGCTCTCAGCCAGTGTCGGTAAAGTTGAGCGAGAACTTGGGCTAACTAATGCTGCAAAGGTACTTAGCTAAACTGTATTAAATTTTGAGGAAAAAGTAAGCAAGCATCACTTTAAGAGGTTAAAATATGTATGTTTGGGAAAGAGAAAAAAACAGTTTGTGAGAAAGGGCATTTATGAAATGCCTTACTTGTGTCTGTGTATACAGACGCGGTGATGGCTTGTAGAATAACATCCGCTGAGCATGGAAATTATAAACACCTCCAGCAGCTGTTTATTTGAGAAGATAACACTTCAACGTGCAGCCCAGGGAGGCTGTGGAGTCTCCTTCTATGGAGATATTCAAGACTCACCTGGACAAGGTCCTCTACAACCTACTGTAGGTGACCCTGCTTCGACAGGAGGGTTGGACTAGATGACCCACAGAGGTCCCTTCCAACCCCTACCATTCTGTGATTCTGTAAATATGCTCCTGAGGCCTTTCTTCAACCAAAAAGAGTTTCAAATAAAAATGTCCTTATTGTTACCCAGTCAATATTTGGCATGATTTCCCAGTTTACTTCACAGACATCAAACTTTTGGTTTACTTGAAACCTCAACAAAGCAGCAGAATTTCTTTCTTTTCAAAATAGTAAGAGCAGTTTAATATTTAGATCATTTAACTCAGTCACAAATTACAGAATATGAGTTATGACTAATCAGAGAAAGCAGTTCAGTATTATAAAACCGGCCTTCAGAAAAGTGATTGTCCCTGACGTTTCCGTGCTTTCTTGAAACTTGAATTGCAAAAATCACTTCTTAGAACAAGAATCCAAAACTCTGAAATTTGTTAGTGAAGACGATCTTCCAGCAAATATTTTATATTAGATCTTTTCCTGCACTCACCTTTAGCAGTACCGTAATACCTGAACAGCTGTCCTACATTTTAGGAAACACTGATCTTGACCTATCAGTCATAGTATTCCTTATGGCTCATCCTTGTTTGATAGAATTGAAGAGAGGAAAGCTGTTAAATGGCTATTGGCTTAATAAAGAAAAGTAATTTTCAAATTCTTGTTGGATTGCAGTGAGTGTATAGCTAAACTGAGATTTAATTACATTTTTAATTAAAGGAATAGCCATCAGTTATGTCAGCCCTAACAAATAGCAATATTACAAGAGATCATTAAACTCGTTGTTAAAATTCCAAGTGAATGAGAACTAGAGCTGGTGTGGATAAAAGGCATAGCGATGCTGCATAGAAGAAGAAGGTAACAAACTAAGTGAAAAATACATTCGTTTCTACAATTTTGGGTACTGATGGCTTTAAGTCCCGTCATAACTTATCTGTGGAACAAAATGAAGACAAAACCATAACAATTTTGAAATAAGAAACATGGGTAAAGTTTCATCTTGGGTCCTGAGGGTGAACAGCAATTCAGACAGTATTTCTCACGAGCTGTACATGAAGCAGGATGCAATCTGTCGTACTTGAGAGGCCTTCTGATCACTCAGGGAGCAATCAGATATGCTACACAGGCTGACCTAACGGGCAAATTCACGCTAGCGGTCAGAGTAGTAACAGCATGGGAATACTGACAAAAAAACCTAGGCAGCTGCGGTCAAGGCGGCTGCAGGACCCTGGCAGCTCACTCTGTCTTCAACCTGCAGCTTTCCTGCTGCCGCAGCGTGGATCCTTCCCTAGGCCCACGGCGTGGATGCCTGGCAGTAGACAGAAAGTGGTTTTCTGGACACCGGTGACGGAGGGTGGGTGGGGAAACCCCACCGCCCTCGTCAATCCGTACAGCCGCGTGTCGTCTGTGCGAGTCCTCCGCCTGTTCGTGCAGGTGGCACTGCTGGCCGGCCGGCTCTGCGCTTCACCCGCACCCCGTGGCTCATGTGGAGCTGTCAGTTGATGCTCTCAAGAAAACGTGTCCTGAATTTGTTTTAGTCTTAGTTTAAGCAGTCTGCAGGCCGCGCGTGTTGTTAAGGGCCTGATCCTTTCCCTCCTTGTGCACCACTTTTACTGCTGAAGGGATCTTATTGAAGCATTTTATTAGTTAGGGGAGTAGCCCCTATGGATAGGTATCGCAGAAGCCTGTTGCTTGTGGTTGCAAGCTGCTCTGATTGATGAAGTCTGGTAGGGAGATGGGGTAGATGATCTCATGGGTGTTTCTGTTTGTTTGTTATGATTTCTATGTGTATAAAGCGGCTTTAATCCTTTCCATTGAAATGCATTGTATCTGCAGAAATGTATTCTTAATAAAGACACAAGGCATGCTGCAAGACGGGCAAGCTTATAGTCAGACCCTATGACTCAGTTGGACTAAGTTATCACTTGAAATAGAGCATTTTAGATTAAAAACTCTTTCTTGGTACCAGATTTTATAGTTGAGCATATTTTGAATGTTCTGTCTATGTATGAGGCACAAAGGCTAATTTGTTAAAAGGCTGTGAGGGTTGCGCAGATGTCAGCGCCCAAGAGTTAGGATGTATTAGTATTAGAGGTATCTGTAACCTTTATCTGACCTTGTAGTTTTATGGAGCATCATCCAGTCCTAGGGACCTTCCTCCCCCCGTGACCTCTGGCTCTTTTAAGCGTGCAGGATAAACAAGGGGCAGGGATGTGGCGAGTGCAGAGAGCGTGGCAGCGGCTGGTGAGCTGCAGAAGTTGTGGGGCAGCGTTTGGTAGAGGCACAAGCACCCTTTAGCAATAAAAAGCAACATCGCGTGGTGAAAGCACTTTTCTCCCTGTATTGCAACTGTATTGCTGCTGTTACATGTGGTGGTGTTCTCACGTTCAGAGCCCAGATTACAAAACATGTTCTGTGTTTAATGGGTGACAAATTTAGAAGAATGGATTACTGAAATATAAACTGAAAGGGCCAGATATAAACATCGAGAGAGTAAAAAGGTTTAATGACCTGTAATCAGGATTTACCAGTGATTTGTGCTTAGGTAATGGCATCACTGTTTTTTTCCAACACACAGGATACATTTTAGTTTACTTCAGACAGGTCCCTGTTCCCTGTTACTGCTTAACTTACAGGATGTTATGATTATAGATGTAGTGACACTGTTGTTGCAGAATCGCTGCTGATAAATGATGGTGGGATGGCAGCTGTAAATATAGCTTCTCTTGTGATTTAAGAGGGAGATGTGAAAGTGTATTGCCCAGATGCTTGATCAATGGCAAACAGGGCCAGCCGCAGCATGCTAAAGCTTAGAAGTCCTTGCCAGATTTTGAGATTAGAAGTTGTCATTTCGAGCATTAACTCCTCCAGTATCAAAGCAATCAGGTCCTCCTTTTCCTTTCTCTTCAGCCAAGATTTATTTACCTTTACAAGCAGGAACTGACATGCAACCCTTTTTCTCAGTTATTTTTTGAGATACAAGAGCTTCTTTAGCAAGCTGCCAAGTATTCAGTGTCTGTCTGTGCCACAGTGCCACGCAGCTGCATGTCATGTCCCCCGTGACCTTCCCATTCACCTGCTTAACTGGTCAGGAAATGTGCAGCCGCTGGGAGCTGTGTAGTTGTACTACTGCAGGCTGGAGAAACAATAAACCAGTCATTACAGATTAGTGTGATAAAACACACCAGCAGCAAAATCAGCTATACTCAGGATTCACTTGACACAAAGGGGTATAGAGCTTTGGTCACTCAGTCCCCTGCTCCGTAGGTGATGGTCCTCTGCAGGTAATATTCCTAATGACAGATGAGGGGCGATAAAAATTTCAATATGCAACTGCTAACATTGCAGTGATTTTAGCCTGGCTTCCCTCAGAGAAATCCCATGCGTCCTGATCTGAAGGCTGATACAAGCTTGGTTATTTTTTCCCTGAAGTGAGAAATGAAAATAACTGCCTCCCCAAGATCTCCCTGGGATTTGGACTAAATGGGGCTTGTATTTGCATTGATACTAAGGATGAAATCAGGACTGGCAGACTGTGATGTGTGAATTTGCAGGCATACAGGGACTCGGAACAGCAGTGAATCTCGTTAGTTAAGCCAAGACATTTTAGATGGTCTGTGCCTAAAATTCAGTCCTGTTCAGTAAAAGGGACTTTCTCTAGAGTCTCTTTAATGTCACATTCCATTTACAATTGTAATAAATGCTAGAACTTGTTTCCTTCTCCCCTATCCCACAAAAAAATGACAGAGAGGAATTTCTCGCTAAGCCTTTGATAACGGTTCTTTCTTTTTGTTCCAGATAACTTCAAACGAGAAGTGCTCAGAGAGCCTGAAGAATGATGGTGATGCTCTTATCAAAGCTCTGGAGAGCCTGGCCCAAACTGCCAGGTGAGTTCCCTCAGGCTTCCAGGAATTTCCAGGGCTGAGAGCCCTCGCCTCCTCCTTTGTCTGTGATGATCTTCTCCCGTAATCGCCTTCTGTGCAGTATAAGCTTCTCAGATTTCTGTCCCTGGCCCCCTCCCCGCACTGCTGTCCTCCAGACTCCTCTCATTCAGAGCTGACTGGTGTTGCGGCCGCTTTGCCATTATCGTGCTTTGATCCCCAGCCGCAGAGTGCTTGGCAAAGGTGTGTGCATGTGAAGATTTTTTTTTTTTTTTTTTAGATATATTATTTTATTCCAAACACTTGGTCTCTACAACCATACACTGGTCAGTGGTTCTCGGTGGAGTGGGCCAGAGGCACAATGCAATGGTTGTGCCCTGTTTAAAAATAATTGTGTTTGGTGCCCTTGCAAGTTGATTACTTTCAAACACGCAGCTGAAGAACAGAACTGCTCTTGTTCAAGAATACCTGTGGCTGCTCTGAGAATGTGCGAGACTTAGGGGAAAGCTGTGGCCTCCTCTGTGAGAACACAGGTTGGCCAAACTTCTGAGTTGGCTCATGTCCCATAGACTTTCCCTCATCTAATCCCCCTTGGACATGCAAATGAATGAATTACTGTTCTCTGCCCCTCCAAACAAATTTTATGCTCCTGCCGTGGGCTGTTAGGCTGCGTTTCACCCCTGGTTGAACTAAAATTCATAGGAGAAATTGTAGTTTGTAGATCAGCTTTTGAAACACTAAGATAATTTTTTCAGTGCTGTTTGTACTCCCAAATGCAGGCTTTAAATGGGTCAGTTGTTTGGGAAAATTGACTCCTCGATATTATGGCAGGGTGTACCCTGTGTTGGAAGGAAAGGGGCATGTGGGCAGATGCGGAGAGGAATTGTTGGGACACAGGGAGTGTAAGCGATGCACACCGAGGACTAACTAAACCTGTCGAGAACAGCCTGCATCCCTCTCGCATACTCAGCTGCTGACTCACGGGTTTTTGTATGACACATTAAATTCTCTAACTAAAATAAAATGTCAGCTCTCCCCAAGGGAGACACTGGCACCACCACTGAAGATGACAGTGGGGAAAGACGGAGGTTTCTTCTTTTAGAACTGGTTTTCACACTATTTTGTAGCATTTCAGCATCAGATGCACTGGACAGCCCAGTCGCTGTCTTTGAGTCTGCTTTTCTGGCTTCCTCTAATTGTCTGTTATCTACACATTTCTGTGCTCAGCAAACCGTGTATTACAGAGCCCCAGATAAACAGCACTGGCTCTGATTTGACACAAGGTGCCCAGCAGGCTGAATTCTAGCTGATGCCAATGAATGAGAAGTGTTTTGATACGCTGGGGTAAGCCAAGTTCCTCTGCTGTGCCAAGCTCCTGCACTGCAGCAGCAACAGTGGAGCCCCCGAGAGCTCATGGGTTTCTTTTCCTCCCCTCCTGTAGGGAACACGCGTCCCTATCCATTCACCTGCGGAGGGTGCTGGGCGGGATTCGACCTGCATCTTGGGGCCATAGTGGCCTCAGACATGGATAAGGCGGCAACGGGCAGGCAGGAGAAGCCTGGGGTTAGCAAGCTTTATCAGGCTTAGCTGAATGGCCATTTTGTTTATGGAGGTTATGGATGTTCTGCCATCTCCCCAGATTCCCTTGTGGCATCTGTCCCAGAATATTCCTTGTGACCTAATAAACTTGGTCTTCTTACCTGTGCTTTGAACGCCGTTGAGAAGCCTCTCTGGTGTCTCATGCAGTACTGGCAACGTTTTAGAGAAGGCTACAGCCGAGATCCTGGATCCAAGCCACCCTCTGAGTAGTCTGAACTCCCCGGCCCTTCCACCCACATATTATCACAGGGTTGAAGTGACCGAGGAGTGTTTTTGCTTTGCTCATTTTTTACAGAGAGGTTTCTCATCTGTTGCTCTGCCCGTGCGGCAGCAGGAGGACACCAGCCCAGCAGTCACGCGCCGAGAGAGGGGCACTGCTTGGATCGCAAGCTGCTTTCGGTGCTCTCCTGCTGCCGTGTCGCAGCCGTGGAGTGCCGAGCTCTGTCTCCACGATGCACCCTCGGCTGGTCAGAGCAGGCAGTTTGCAGAGTGACACATGACCAACCCATTCTGCTTAGCAGCCACGTGGAATCAAATCTACACTTTAAAATGTGGGATCGTAGCCATTTATTTTTCAGTGAAGACAGTTGCCAAGATGAATTTGTTTCACAGAACTGAATTTGCTGGTTTAAACTGCTGCTCATTAAGACATTGGCTTACATTGTGTGGATTGATCATCTGGATTTCCTAGCTAGTTCTGCGTTCCCCAAAACATGAGTGTTGGTAGGCACTTGTCATTAGCAGCAACCAAGGAAGCTGCAGACTGATCTACTGGTGTTCTGTCTAAGCTAAAGATGAGGGGTGGTAGTCTATTAAAAAAAAAAAAAAAGCCTCTGTTTCAATGCTAGAAAAAACATGTTTCCAGAAAGAAAAATTAGGCAAAATACATATAATTAAAAAATTAGGTGAGGAAGCACAGGGGGAAGACCCCACTGTTGAATCTCAACCCTGCAGAGCTGTGTGGTGGGGCAGTCGGTCTTTCTTGCAGGGGGTGAGCAACGCCTGGAGTGGCACTGCAAAACGCATCTTTCTATCAAGCTCGAAATGTGTGTGGGGGGGAGGCGTGCTAAAGTATATCTTCTTTTTACAGACGAGATTGAGTGAGGCAGCAGTTACTGTGCATTTGAGCTGAAATTCATTTTTGTACAAGATTTGAAACCGGGCAGAATCACTAGTTGCATGTTACTGCTAAGTAAAGAAAACATTCAACTTACAGAAAAGCGGGATGGATATACAGTGCAGTTAAAGGCTATTAAGAGCTTTCCAGCATGGATAAAGGCAAATGTGGAATTTGAACAAAACGTTTTCCCCTGAGTATGTCTAATAGATATTACTTGTTTTAATTCCTAGTTCTCATGCTGATGTTGCTGTTGCTTCCTTGGCATTCGAAATTCTGAGAACGGTGGGACATGAAAATAGCAAGACTACCAAGTGAACCGTTTTCTGACCGGCCTACCAAAATGCAAAAGTTGTGTATGCTGCTCAGCGCCTCGGTCCTGCAGGAACACCATCAAATGAGCAGACGTAACTAATTTAGCAAGCTGAGCCGTAGCTGTGTATGGCAAATGTGTGAAATTGGGAAGCTTCAGGGAGGGGAAAAATAGTTTAGGGAGGATGTGTTTGTTTTTTAAACCTCCGTAAGGATGAACTCTTGGTTACTACTTTACCTTGCTGGTGTTATGTGCTGTAGCTCAAGTATTTGACAGCCAGTTTGAGAAGAGCAAATTAAATAAATAGTAATTTCACAATATGGCCATAAAGTGCGTTCACCATTTTAAGCTGCTGTTAGTAATGTTTGTTTTTATTTTTGACCAGGTGAATGCCTTGGCTGTTCATCATGAGGGGGTCACCTCATGGCTATGACTGGCACTAGACAGTACCTTTTTATCAAGAAATAGAATATTCTTCATCTCAGGCAACCAGCATCAACCCCTGTGATCACACAGAGGCTCTGTGTGTGTGTGTGTGTGTGTGTGTGTGTGTGTGTCTGCAGCATGAACACAATAGATTTCATCAGGTTTTTAGCCATAGCAGAGGCTTTTTTTTGTGAGACTGGGTGCTCCACTGTTGCCTAGCACTGCACAGCTTAAGCTGCACTGGTGGAGGGTTGGTCTCAGCTGCCAACACTCCTCTCTCGTTGAAAATCGGTGAGACGATGAGCCTGGCAGTTTGTCGTTTATCCCCGGTAAAAGCTGATGCTCTAGGAAGGGTCCTCTAGAGCCAGCAGATGCCATCGTGTCTAAAGAATTAAGTTTTTCTTCTCCCCAGGTGCCCTGTGCAAACGTAGCATGGCCTTAATGTTTGTCTTCCAAAGCAGCAGCTGCGTGTTCCTACCACATGTACCGTCTGGCACCGCAGGTGCCTCCATGCGAGCGGCTGCTACAAGCCTGCTTCTGGACAGCCCCGCACTCCAGAGTAGGTGGAGGCAAGCAAACACCCCTCGGGGCACAAACTGATTTCATCGTGTGTATTTGATAGGAATTGTTCTCTTATGTTACTTTAAATATCATTATCCATATCTTAACAGCTATGAAAATGTTAAGTTTAATTATAGAAATGGTGAAAAGCTATGTGGTGGCTATTAATTGGTAAAGAGTTTTCTAGTAGTGGTCTTCTAGTGTGAGTGCAGCTGAGAGGAACAAGGCTGAACGACTGGGTGAGGCTTGCCCCTCCAGAGGGGCCGTGCCTTTGCTCTGCAAGCAAAAGGCAGGGGCAGGCTGTTCAGCAGTTCTGTTCAGCTCCTATCACCTGGGGATCCTAACCTGAGCCATGAGGCCTGGCAGCCAAGACCCGCTGACCTTCTGCTGGCAAACTGCTGCACTGAAGTACAGCTGCCTGGCAGTGTTGGCTCTGGGCAGAGGCTGGAGGCAGTGGCACGGTGCAGATGTGCACAACCTATGCCTTAGCCAGCAGTTTAAGAGCCACTGTCCCTGCTTCCAGCTGCGCAGGTGCAGCCTCAAAAGAAGTCACACGCAGGTCCTATCTCACACAGTAACTGAAGACTGAGGGTACCTGAGAATGACAGTTTGTAAGCAAAGGACCTTCATCCAAGCCCAGTGACAGCACACACCTTAAGACACACGAAGTACTCTGCTGTTCTTCCTTTTTGAAGCCCAGAACTAAGCCTGGGGTAGCAGGCCAGGCACCAAGTGTAGCTGCGCCTCACATCTGGCTATACCTGCCTCACGCTGAGGAACCAGGAAACCAGGAACGCAAAGCGGCAGCAGGGGAGCAGGGGGCAGCCTCTGCACACGGGACTCCACAGGGAAACTGTTCCATAGGGGGATGAAAGAGGTAAATGGGTCTTAGCTTTCCTCCGCTGAAGGTGGTGTGCAATTCCAGGACAATTCTCAGCAACTTGTTAACACACAAATATACTTTATGATCTGAAATAATTTCACACAGAATGAATTAAAAGTTTACTTTAATTTTGAACCATTTTATAACTGCATTTTTCTCATGAAGCATCTGTATCACAGCAGGCTACAA